ATGATGATGATGATGATGATGATGATGATGATGATGATGATGATGATGATGATGATGATGAGGATGATGCTGATGATGTTGATGATGTTGATGATGCTGATGCTGATGATGATTATGATGACGATGATGTTGATTATGATGATGATGTTGCTGATGATGCTGATGATAATGATGATGCTGATGATGATGATGATGATGACTACTCGGATGATGATGACGCGGACACCGCTTTTCCAGTAACCGAATACGAAGAGAAATGGAACGTTCGTGAACGTTTAGATGAGTGATTATTCGGTACCTTTTGTATTTTTTTACATGAGACCTTATGATCCGCAGGATTTAACCGGGCTGATCCTCACTTAGGCCGTGGCTAGTGTGTGTGAACTGTTATTGTGACTTCTTGATTTCTGACAGACTGAATTATACAGGATGCACACACTAAATTGGATCCCTTTCCCATGTTGCACTACTCGGGTGTAACTATGAAATTATTTTTGTGAGCTCTTCACTGGAGCTTCAAATGAAATGGATAGAATCAGTAGCACTGTACGAAATCAAAGAGGTTGTCGGAATGGCAAAAATATTAACTTTACAGAGATTGGACTTTCATAGATGTGCGGCATCCAAAAGATTTGCCGCTCAGCTTTCAACACCACAACTGGAGTCTATTTTCTCATCAAATCAAAACACTAGATGCGGAAAAATGTGTGTTTACTACGAAAATCAAAACCCCATCCACATTTCAGAGGCCATTATATTGCGAAAATAGCGAAAAACAATTTGAAAAAAATCCGGGATCTGTGATCCAGTTAACAGAGGAGCAAATACCTACAACGTGTAAACATAGTACAATTTGGTTGAATCAGACCATGCATAAATAGGGAACCGCATTGCCGGGCCCCTCCTACCAGCTCGTCTTACACACACATACACACACACACATACTCCATCAGTGTTCGAAATAATGGCAAACGACTAAGCATGCCAGACAAGATGCATAGACCCTGCCCTTTCGAACAAGTCGCGGAAGGTAGGCACATAGTCACTAGGTTCTAGAACGATACGTAATTAAGACGTGCATGTATGCGCGTATGCATGCGTGCGTGCATGCGCATGTGCGTACGTGCGTGCGTGTGCATCTATTTGGATGTCATTGAGAGCGATGACGAACAGCACGGACTGCCAGAATGCTATCAACGTTGTGTGGTCCAAGCGTGACTCACAGTTGGTTACCCGGCAATCTTCAATGCAAATTTGTTTACATTCATCGACGCAACGCCGAATCCTGGTCGTGACATCCACCGTTGCACAACAGACAAACCGAATAGAGCGAAAGAATGTGCATTCTGTTGTTTTTCACTGATGCAATAGGAACACGAGAAAGAACATAGCGAAAGAGCTACGGCCGAAGGGAGGGAGAAAAATGAAAGAAAACATGGGTGTTTTTTTGTAATATTACACTGCCATCTAGCGGTCACCTAGTAATATATATAATAAGTAGTATGTGAATAACTGTAAAGACGATCAAGTCAGGTTGGTTGCGGTTAGTAGCATCTAACCCACCTAGAAAACATCGAACCATAGCATTGATTCTTCACTGGACTGGCTATGAAAGAGCTGTCTATCTTAAAGTGACCTTGCAAACAAGGTTATTGTGACGAAAAGTAGGCTTCCTGTCTGCAAGTGCATGAAGGAGGTGACAAAAGATTATCGGATATGCATACCTGACGAGCGGAAAGAACCGCAAAACCGGTCGTTTGCTTCCAGGGAAATTTTGTCCAGCCATTCACTTACCACTTATCACAACATATATATACCGACCAGGTACTGAACTACGACAGCAATTACCCCACGTGTCACCTGTGGAGCTGTGCGTACACTTTATTCCGCCATGCGGACACACATTGTAGCACAGAATGAACTCCGGCATCAAGAATAAATGCATCTGTTCAATCAATTCCGCACGAATGGTTACCTCAAAAGTTTCTTCTAACCATGCCTTAGGGGAAGAAAAAACCGAAGGATGAAGAGAAGAAAACGAAAGTCTTATTGCGATACATGCGTGGGGTATCAGAAACCGTCGACCGCATCCTTCGCCCTCTGGGTGTTACCACTGCCCGAAATTTACAACAATGCTGCGTTCAATTCTGTTCAATGGCAAGAACTTTGTAGGACCGCACGACCAATCAGTGGTGGCGTGCGCACTTCCGTGCCTAGACTGTGACCAACGTTACATTGGAGAGACAGGCAAACAACTGTGCATTCGCCTACATGAATACACACTTACAATACGACTCGCATACCCGAAGCTACATCTCTGGAAGCACTACGCAACGACAGATCACGAGGTCAAAATGAATGACGCAAAAGTAGTGTCAAGGGCAAAGAGGAGGGGGGGGACGTTTGATCACTGAAGCACTGCTTTCGACCAACTTATTCGATCGACACGTGGAAATCGATTAACATTACGCAGCGGTTGTACAGCCAATGAGGAAAACGGGATTGATGGGCAAACAGGCGCGACGCAAACCACAGTGCGAGGCATAAGCAGACCCCATTCATTCACACGTATTATCGTTTGACTATGAGTCCTAGTCTGGATTGAAATGTCACAATAAATAATGTCACTCAGTGCTCGCCTTCTATCTATCTATCTATCTATCTATCTATCTATCTATCTATCTATCTATCTATGCGTTTCATACACTTTTGAAAGCAAACTGTGCCCTAAACAAATCACTGTACATTTATCTTTATAAAAAGATAAAATTTCCATGAATTACTTGTTCGTAGAATATTGCCAGGTTGCCCAGGCAGGTGAACGTTTCCGGGGGAATTTACAACCGGAACCTTCGATTAGCCAAAGCCTGACCCGCAATCCACTGGAGGCCGGTGTGCTGTTCATCGGATCATAAACACATCGGACGTGGTCAAACATTCAAGGGGCCCAATAAACATCGATGCCCAATCGAGCCGGTAACCACTACCAAAACCAGAAAGGTGTGTTCGTGGTTTGTACGCCTGTTCTTCTTTGGTTTGGAATCAGGGGTTTTTAGCCAATTCCCCTAGGTGAACTACCAAGGGTTCACCTGACCGGTTATAGCTGCGGATGTTGGCTTTTCGTCCTCTCACTTTGATGGGGAAAACACCTCCCCCACGAGAAGGCAGTGAGTAGGGCTTCCTCAGCAGAGGCTATTTGAGACGCTTGATCGTGCGGGGGCTTTACATGAAACGTAACAGTAGGGTAACCAGCCATAACCCAGAACACCAACCTCTGACCATTCTAAGGCCTTCGGAGGCACATCGTAAAATTACAAAAAATGCATTTTCGGTCATTTCGATCGATTAGTGCATACAATTTGGATGAAAGTGAACATGGAAAGGAAAGCCTGACCCGGGAATGAAGAGGTGAGGGTGATTTAGAGATTTCAATGCAAGTGGAGTTTGATTTTTAAGGTGATCATGCTCAGATCCGATGACCATTGCAAACAACAACAATGAAAGAAGTTCTTTCGTTCAATGATCTGGATGTAAATTGGTCAACCTGATCAAACCCAATTGTATCTTTTGTAATACAGTCAACCGTTACTATATCACTTTTGAGATACGTAGCATAATGTCTTTGTGAAATACTCAAATCATTGTTAAACACTTCCTTAAATACCTAGTCCATACTTAACTGTTGGTGACCGGTAACAATTGTTCCCAGTTCCAAATCCTCTGATTCAATCGTTCTAAACAAGTGCTTCCGTCCTATCGCTTTAGCTTGTGTTGGTCTTAGTCTAACACACAGCCAGTCCTCTCTCGTGGTCCCGTATGATCCCCTTCAGCTTGCCTACAGATCAAACAGAAACAAGCTTGATGCAGTTTCCTCATTTGTATATAAAATTACCAAGTCTTTAAATGATTGGGATAAACTTTTCGTTGTGTCTGGACTTATCTTTTGTATTTGAGTCTACTCCTCCCTCCCTCCTTCTTTGAAAACTGGAGACCTCCGGCTGTCACAGGCATGGCAATGGTGGTCCGGTGGTAACGTCACCAAATTACCACTGCGGAGGACGAGTGTTTGAATCCCATCACCACGACTATCGTTTGACTTCCCCACTTTGTGTATGTTGCATGGTAGCCCTTTGATTGGCCACTTCTCTCTTCCTTAAACGTTTATCGTTGTATATTCAATCAAATGAAGTAAAATGATAAGAAAAAATTAGCCTGGTTTGCTGATTACTTCTCCGAGAGAAATCAATGCAAACATCAGGCTAGGTCGGAAGTAGTTCAAATCTCTGGTGTTCGCCCAAGGTACAGTTGTTTTTTCATACTCATTTATACGTGCATTCGTGAATTGTCTGCTAACTGCTCGCTTCGAGTAAATTGATAATGCGGTTTTATGTCAAACTTTCTCCGATTCTTCGGGTATTTCACAATTTTCTGATAACTGGGAAAACGTTCAACAATTTTCTTCCATATCCGGCCTCTGCCTTACTCCTTCCAAATGTTTCGAGCGTCTCTTTACGTCATCAGGTTGTTCTTTCCTGTCTGAATTGGCATCGATTTACTCTGAACCAGTATCCCAGGTAAGCAGTATCAAATATTTGGGGTTTTTTCTGGATGATCATCTTCATTGGGCTACTCACATTACTAAAGTTCGATGACTTTTTTCTATATCTGTAAACTTCGTCACGTTCGAATTCAATTCGTTTACCAGTGTTTTCCCTATTTTATTCTAATTTTCACCTATTTTATAAATCCATTAAAGAACGACTTTAAGTTGCTTCGACGTGGACTGGCCATATTTAACCGCGTCTCT